TTTAACAGGCAAAGCTGGATTAATTAACTTAAACAACATCAACAACAAAAATTAATAATTATAATAAATAACAATAATAAATAAATAACAGCAATAGTCTTAAATAATAATAATTATAAATAATAATAATTATTATTATAAATACCCAACATTAACAACAAACTTCTGATTGGTCAATCAAACCTAACTCTATGTAAGCTAAGCCTAACTTAAACAACGATGTCTTTCAAACCCCACAATCACGTGGTCGGCAGGCCCGCCGCGCCCTTACCGCCCACGCCACAGCAGCAGCAGCAGCATCAACCACTATCACCACATGATGACGACCAGTTTGGTAAGCAACAACAACTGAGACTTCATCAACCAAATTTTAGTAGAATTCGGCATAACATCAGCGTCATATCTAGTTCATCTGGTTAATTAATTATTTTTAATTTATAATAAGAATAATAATTTTTATTATTATCATTATTATTCATTTTTACATCTAATTTTTTTTTTTTTATGTCCTGGTTATGACATTAAACTGACCCTCACTGCCTTGTGAGTGATGTTGGATCATCAAAGGCTAGGCCCACCGCTTATAACTGTGGTTGCGTAAGGAAGGGCATCCTGCGTAAAAATTAGCCAAATAAATTACTTATGATGACAGAAGTGATAATGGTTTCATTATAGGTAGCCAAACTTAACCCCCGATCTCGGGGAAAATGTCGTCTAAACGTGTGTTGTTGTTGTTATTATTATTAATTTTTTTAATTTCAATTCTGTAATATTGGTGATAAAAGAGTTATTGGTGGTGATAGTTAAAGATAATGCATGGTGGTGGTGGCGGCAACGAGGATGATGGTGGTGGTGAATGATTCAGTGAAAGAATGAGTAAATGAATGAATGAGTGAATGAATGAATGAGTAAATGAATGAGTGAATGAATGAATGAATGAGTCAGTTAGTGAGTGAATCGATGAGTGAATGAATGAATGAATAATGACGGTGATGACGAAAATGATGATGACAAATATGATAATAACTTGAAATGATTTGTCAATCAT